TATATATATATATATATATATATATATATATATATATATATATATATATATATATATATATATATATATATATATATATATATATATATATATATATATATATATATATATATATATATATATATATATATATATATATATATATATATATATATATATATATATATATATATATATATATATATATATATATATATATATATATATATATATATATATATATATATATATATATATATATAATTATATCCCCTTTTGAGTTTCTTTTACTTTTTTAAATATTTCCCAAATGATGTTTAACAGAACAATGAAATTTTCACAGTATGTTTGATAATATTTTTCTTCTGGAGAAAGTCTTATTTGTTTTATTTCGGCTAGAATAAAAGCAGTTATTAATTTTTTAAAAAAATTTTAAGGTCAAAATTATTATCCCCTATAAAGCTTTATTTTTTCCGATAGTCTACAGAACAAACCATCATTACACAACAACTTACCTAATTACCCTAACCTGCCTAGTTAACCTAATAAACCTAGTTAAGTCTTTAAATGTCACTTTAAGCTGTATAGAAGTGTCTTGAAAAATAGTAAAATATTATTTAGTCATCATGGCAAAGATAAAATAAATCAGTTATTAGAAATATATTTTTATAACTATTATGTTTAGAAATGTGCTGAAACGATCTTCCCTCCGTTAAACAGAAATTGGGAAAAAAAAAAACAGGGGAGTTAATAATTCAGGGGGGCTAATAATTCTGACTTCAACTGTATATATGGAAATATCTAACATTACAATATTTTGGTATTTTGTGATATATATTGCGACATGAAGAATACGAATTTACCTTACCAATAAGGAAACCATTACAATAGAAACAAAGTCTTTTATCATTTTCCGTGTCTAACAATACTGTGATACAATTATTAAGTAATAAAAATACAAATAATTCATTGTAAATATTCAATTTTTAAAGTTACTCACCGTACAATTTACTGTGCCTGAATGCTTTTAAAAACATTATAGTCACAGGCCTCAAAAGCACATGCAAATGACCAATAATAATACAGACTAAACATTGCAAACCCTGCCATGTGACTATTACAATGCAAATTTATATATATATGTGTATGTATATATATGTGTATGTATGTGTATGTATATATATGTCGGCTTAGTCCCTTTATTAATCTGGGGTCGCCACAGTGGAATGAACCACCAACTTATCCAGCATATGTTTTACGCAGCGGATGCCCTTCCAGCCGCAACCCATCTCTGGGAAACATCCATACACACACATTCACACTCATACACTACGGACAATTTAGCCTACCCAATTCACCTGTACCGCATGTCTTTGGACTGTAGGGGAAACCGGAGCAACGGGAGAACATGCAAAAGGGAGAACATGCAAACTCCACACAGATACATGTTAAGTTTAATATAAACTTTGAAATACCGTTTTGGCTATGGTAAATGGTAAATTTCAGCCTTTACCTGTGAGAATAGTGTGAGCAGGGCCTGATGGTCAGGGAAGTCAAGGTGTTTGGAGTAGAACTGATGTAGACCGGCTATATGTGCTTCAGTCATCTCTCTTTTCTCATTATCCATATCCTCCAGGTCTGTCAGAAGATGAAGACTAACATGTTAACTATAAATGCTAAACATGCAATATGAGCCAAAAATCATGAGGAAATTAATAAGCAACTCTGGGGGCTAATGGTTAGGGAGTTGAACTTGTAGTCGAAAGATTGCAGGTTTGATTCCCAGTCCCAGCAGGAATCGAGTATGGGGGAGCCAATGAGGTATCAAGACATCTTCAACAC